GCACCAGCTTTGCTCATTTCCAGGCGACACAAGTCACCCCAACCTCCAGCCCCTCGCTGCTGGCATGCCGGGGGGGTCTGGGGGGGTCTTGCCGTCATTTTAAGGTAAGACTGGGTGTGAGGACGCGGTGCTGTGCCTTTGAAGATAGTTTTTGCCCCGAGCGGTGGCACTCTGCTCCGTGCTGCTGTACAGAGTGGTGCTCAGTGAACCCAGCCCCCAGCACTTCCTATGCCCTGGGTCATTTTTAGAACAAAGTTTTTGGTTTTTTTTTTTTTGGTTTTGTTTTTTTTTTCCCCTTCCATGTTGCAGAAGATTGCCCAAACGCTGTTACAGCAGCCATGTGTGTTCAGCTCTGTGTGACACCGCTCCGGGACCGTGTCACCGCCCCAGGAACAGCCAAAACCACAGTCTGTGGCAGCAAAGAGCAGGTACAACACGCCGGGGCACGGCGGGCGAGGGCCCCCGCTCCGGTGGGGCATCGGATGGGGACAAGCCCCCAGTTCAGGTCCCAGCTCCTGCAGGACCACGGCTTGGGAACACTGCTGGTTCAGGGTGGATTTGGGGAGCTCCCCCTCTCTGTGCTGCCCAGGGTCCCCACAGCAGCACCCTTTAGAGAGTCCCCACTTTCTCTCTGGAGCAGCATCTGGCCCCAAAGCACTTTCTCCCGGCGCTGCCGAGGTGCACAGGGAGCCCTGCTCCCACAGACACCGTGCAAGCGGGGCTTTCCCAGCATTTTCCTAAATTAAAGGTTTTTTGGTGTTTTTTTTTTCCCCCCCCTGAAATTTCCTGTTGGCCCCAGCCAGGGCTGTTTGCCCCATCTGTCCTCACTCCAAGCACAGCCTTCAGCACCATTAATTAAACTCACCCTCCGGCTGGGCAGACGCGGCCGCTCTCCTCGCAGCTCCTACGACCGCAGGCTCCCTCCCCGCTCTCATCCCTCCCCAGTGTCCCCATCGGGGGACAGTCCAGCCCCACGCCCTGCCCGAAGCTGCAGCCCAAACCGCGTCATTTATTAATTACATCAGGAGAAAAGAAGTGATGACCTCCCTCCGCTCCTGCCTCCTGGCAGCCGCTCCTGCCGACGCTCCCGGGGAGCCCCCACGGGACCCCGTATCATCACAGCCTGGTGCACCCAGGGTGGCTCTCCCCTGGGTGCCCGTTCTGCTGTGTGTGACAGAGCAGGGTTTTGGCATTGCCCCTGGGGTACCTTTGAAGGGAAGGTTGGTCCCTGGGGGTAGCTGCTGTGTTATTCCTTGCACTGCCCGTCTCCCCTCGTGCCCGTCCTCACCCAGCCACAAGCCCCACTGGAGCTGGAGCCCCCGGGGTGCCAAGCACCCGCTGTAGGGCTTCTGAGGGTGCCGTAAGGGAACCAAAACCTGAAGCATGAAAAAAACGCCAGTTACGGAAATGAAGGCCACGGCAACTGGGTTATACTTAGAATAAATAAAAAACAAGAAGCAAACAAACAAAGAGAAAGCAAGGAGGTTGGAAAAGCAGCTTTCCTGCCTGGAAGCAAGGCCAGCTGCTCCATCGGGTGAGGACAGACCTGTGTCCTGGCCAGAGCTCTGGTGGTCTCAGGGGTGGGCACCGACCAGCTCCTGCAGCGCTTCCCCCCACGTTTGTGCCCGGGCTCAGTGTCCCACGTGCTGGGGGTACAACCCCCTCCCACCGCACTGCCCACCCCCGGCACCCCTCCCTCCAGCCTTCCCCCCCCTCCCCGCCTGCTTTGCAAAGACTAAACTGTTCCATGGAGTATTTTTACACCGGGGCATCTCTCTCAGACTCGTGACTGGCCCCGCGCCTGGCGCTGGGCAGAGCTCTGCGCTCCCCGGGCACGGTCACACGCTGGTCACACACACTGCCCCTGCCTTCGCTCCGGTGCCTGGCACTTCTCCTCCTGGGGTTCTGTTGTTTTCAATATAATTCGGTGCTGTTGCCTGTCTGGGGGTACGAGCAGCCCATTGAATTCACAAAACCACCCCGTTAGTAGACACAGGACCATGGGGGCATCCCCAAGGCAGGACACATCTCTGCTCCAAGGACTTCGAGGGTCCCACCAGCATCCCCAGAGGAAAACATCCTTCCTGTTCCCAGGGAAGGAGCAGGGCCCACAGCAGACATGGAATAATCTGCTTTTGGGATGTCTCCCATCTAGTGGCAGCAGCCGAGCATCCCTCTTGGTTGGTGTTCACCCTCCCGAGGCTTTTGGTGTCCACGTTCTCCAGGACTTTTGACCCTCTCATCCTCCAGCACTCCCTGCGGTCTCTCCTCCAGGAGCATCCTGGGGCAGGGAGTTCCACGGCTGGATCCCAGCATGCCGAAATTATTTCTTTTCATCTGTTTGAACTTGCTCTTTTCGGTTTCGGTACCTGTTCCCTTTTTTTCTTGCGTTATGACTAAGGGAAACTCCCGGCAGGTTGCCCCGCTGGAGGAGCAGCGGCTGGGCTTCCAGTCAGCAGTTTGTGGCTTGCCCTGCGTTACATTTCTTGCAGGCAAATTCCCACTCTGCTCTGCACGCTCCCAGCCACCCCGCTCCCTCCTCCCTTCATCGCTCCCTTTTCTTTCCTTCCCATAATCACTGCTCACTGTTACCGTTCTCCTTACAAAACAAGGCAGCACCGAGCACTCCTGGGATGTGTGTGTGTGTGTGTGTGTGTGTTCCCAGCAGAGCTTTACACTGCACAAACACTGATTGTCCTGGACCACAGAGTGAGCCCCACATCAACGCTCCCCCCTGCCAACTTTGGGGCCAGCAGCATTCACCAGGCCCTGGCTGCCCCGAGGAGCCCCCGTGCCCAGGACATCCCCAAACTGCTGCTGGCCAGTGAGTGCAGAGCTGGGAGGGGGGACACAGGACCCTCCCCACACCCCACCGATGGTCCCTTGGGTCCCCACAGCAAGCAGAGGGCTGTGTTTGCTGGGCTCAGAGCAGATGCTCCCACATTCCCGATACGGAAAACAAGCAGGAATGCAGTCTGCTCACCCACTGCCCGGGTCCCACAGTGCCACCAGGTGCCATCCACAAGCCTCAGGACATTTGTCCTTGTCCCAACAAACAGCAGCCGAGTTTCTCGTGTGGCAGCTCTGCCGGAGTCCCCCACGTCTCACACCCTCCCCGTCTCACACCCTCCCCAGCCACCCCCCCAAACACTTCATCTCCTCCTTACCTCAACCAGGCACTGCTTTTTTTTCTTCTTAGACTGCAAAACTCTCCTGGGCCAGCCCCACCACCCGCATTAGACCAGCCCCAGGGGTCTCTGGGCTGCAGGAGGACTCCTACATCCATCCACCCTTTCAAGGTGGTGACAAGGGGCACCTGCGGGACCCACCCCCTCATTAGGGTTCAAAGGGAAACCTGGTGGAAAGAGGAGAAGCAGCTTTCTCGGAGGGGGTGGGAAGAGCCAGGGAGGAATGAGTCACCTGGAAGTCTGATCTCGGTGACCGCAGACACACAGTGGGTGTCCGGGGACAAACCCACCCCCGTGCAGCGTGTCGGGGTCGCTGCGGCAGCGTGGGGGTGCCCGTGGATGGTTTCCTCCTGCCAACCACACAAAGAGCTGCTCCGAGCAGTCTGGGCCAACACCTTGCACCAAATACATTCACAGTCTGCCCAGACCCACATCTTTGCAGCCGGAGGAGGTGAGAAACCGCCCCCCTGCAGCTGTGAACCTCGAGTTAGCACAAAGCACCCCAAAATCATCTCTGTCGGGGCGGCGTGCTGGGGGTGGGGGGGCAAAGCCTCCCTGGGTGGCTGCGCTGGGATGCGCTCCCATTCCCACAGGGAGCCCCGGGGAAGCCAAACCCGTTTGGTTGGGGCCGTTCTCCACCGTGGTTGGTTGTGGTTTCCCCGTCAATGAGAGGCCGTGGTCGGGAACACCATTTTTCGGCTGTAGCGTTTATTTGCCTGGTGGCAGCTCGGTCTCCTCCGCACTCGGAGCAGGGGGGGTCCCCGCCGTCCTGCGCGCGTCCCTAGGCTATTGTGGCAAGCAGCTATGGGGGGGTGGCCACCACTGGCCCGGGACCCTCGCTCACAGCCAGCCCAGCAGCAGCGGTCCTGCGAGCGTGGCCACCAGCAGGCTGGGGAAGGCCAGTGGCCGGAGCCCCCCGCCGTTCCGGGAGCCCTGGGAGGGCCCGTTGCAGTTGTCGCTGAAGCAGCATTGCACCGTGGCCCCACCGGAGCCGCCGCGGCGAGCCTGGTCACAGAAGGACTTGTAGGAGCAAGATTTAATGACACTGTCTGCAAGGAAAGGGACAGGGAACACGGCGGGGTCAGGCAGTGCCGGGCATCGGGGGCTTCGCTCCTCCCTGACTCCACTGGAAAGGGGGAAAGGAGAGCCGTGTCCCGGCACGTTACGTTGAGGATGTCAATGGAAGGGTCTCCCCCTGCCCACGGGGCTGCTGGGAGAGCAGAGCATCGCTCTGGTGGCCACATCCCTCCAGGTCACTGCGGAGCACATCGCGCAGCCCCGCTGTGAAATGGTGACCACACGTTTACAGCCACGTGTGGAAACACGAATAGCTGCGGCTCTGGAGAGAACCCCAGGAGGGCAGAGGGTTGGTTTTGGGACCCATCCCTGTCCGTGTCACCGGCCACGTTGCAGCCACAGAGTTGGACCACGGGGGGTGAAGCATTTTCAGCCTCAGAAAAGGACTTGCCCTATGCCAGGAAAGGGCTGTGAGTTGCCTCAGACAAAAAGCATCTTTCTGAAGACTAAAAAATTGGGAAAAAAGCAGATGGCTCATCCCGGCTTCACGGGGGTGAGAGGAAGCTGGCTCCTGGGCTGCCCCGGCAGGTCCTCTGCTCCTCCTCCTCCTCCTCTGATGGTCCCCCAGCACCTCTGGTCCCCCCATCCCAGCTCCTCCAGTCCCCCCCAGCCCCTCTGGTCCCCCCAGGAAGGACTTACTGGGCGCCGTGATGGTGGAGCAGGCGTCGGCGTACTGGGGGCAGCTGTGGGAGCCCTGCTTGTTGCAGTCGTTCTCGTTGGATGCGACGCATTTGTGGCATTTCAGTGCTTTACCTGTGCGGAGACGGGGAGGAAGAGGAGGAGGAAGAGGAAGAGGAAGAGCAGCAGTGGTGAGCCCTCCCAGAGCCCCCAGGGCCATTTTGTGGGTCTCCAGGACCACTGGTGACCCCCAGCACAGGGGCAGGGAGTCACAGGCAAGTGGTGTCACCACTCAGAGCCCAGCAGGAACCGGGGAGGCTGTGGCTCGCAGCAGCTTTGGGGTGTGTGGGGTCTCTCCTCTCCACGAAATTAATGCAAAACCCTTCCCAGTGTGACTCAAAGCCATGGGAGCTGAACTGGGCAGGTTTGCTCTTCCAATCTCTGCTCTGCAAAGCCCTCCCGAAACTGAGAGTCCTCTAATTGCCTTTACAGTAAAAATAGGGAGACATAATACTTCAAAAAAAAAAAAAAATATATATACATATATATCTTTGTCTTCTTATGTTAATGAGCATTTTTGGGGGGAGAAGGGAGGATTCATCAAACCCGTGGAAGCAGGTTTGGGCCATTTGTGTGTCTTTAAAGGGCAGCTTTGCTCGGAAAGCAGCCCCCAAAGGCTCTGCCCAGGGACAAGGGCAGGGACAGGCAGTGACCTGCCAGGGGTGTGTGTGTGTGTCGGGAAGGACAAGTCATCTCCGAATTGTCCTCAAAGGAGGCCAGGGGCACGTCAGATAATCCCCAGCCCCTCGCCCCCGCCTCACCCCCTGCGTCACCGCCGGCCGGAGGTGTGAGAGCTGCTCGACCCTTGAGGAGAGTTGAGGAGCCAGCTGAGCAAATCTGAAAGTGCTGTTATCATTTTATGACAGTCAGAGGCTTTAAATACCAGCACTGTTTTAAATATCTGCAGACAAAGTGCCTCCTCCAAAAAAAAAAAATTAAAAAAAAAAAAGCCAACAACCTAAAGCTGGAGCTCCTGCTCCCGCCTGAAATGATGAATGCTGGATTTCCATGGTGATGGTTAAATTAATGCTGATGTTTGAGGTTTCTATGGGCTTCTCCAGTTGAGCAGAGCCCTCTCGTGGCAAGCCCAGCTCCTGGCCATCAAGGTGGACCTCGCAGGAGGCCAGAGCTCCCACCTCCATCCCATGGGAAAGGAGAAAACCGGTGTCTCAGGGAAACTGGGATTTCATGGGGCCAAACGCCAGTAAACGCCTGCCATCAGCCCCCACTCCCACAGCGGGATTCTTTCTCTCCTGCTTCTCACTTGCAGTTCTTTGCAGCTCAGGACCACCTTTCATCCACCATTTGGGGTTCACCTTCCCTGGGTGCAAAGATCCCGAAACCACCCCGACCCGGCCACGCTGGATGGCATCGCTGAGCAGCACAACCACCTTCCCACCTTGGTAAGATGGTTTGTTGTGATTCTGCCTTCAAGGAACCCAGTTTTAGCTGGAAACACCGCTCTGGCCACGAGGAGCTGCTCTTCCTGGGCTTGGGTGCCCCCTCGGCTCACTCAGGGATAGAGACCAGGGGGCTCCATGGTCCCCACTGGGCACCCACACTTTGGGCAAGGGACAGAGAGAGGGTGAGGGACAGGGTGCTCCTCCAGGCGCTCCCAGGAGGAGAAAGCCACCCTTCTCCCCCAAACGCCATTACTCTGCAGGGATGGGAGCAGGAATGTGGCAGGGCCACCACGAGGCTGAGAGCAGGGATGGGGCACCAGCAGAAGATCAGCTACAGCCACTTACCCCGCACAGCCCTGCCCCGGGCTACCCACACTTACTGTCTGCGGCCAGGGACGTGACGATGGCCAGGGCCAGGAGGGTCCTCAGGGTGGACATGTCCAGCAGTGTGCGGCACGGGGCGCGTACCCCCTGTTTTGTCTTAAGGTCTTACAGCTAATCTGCTTGGGTGATTGGATCACCGGGCTGGGGATAACACACTTACTGCAGCCCCCGGCTAATGCCATCTTAGCAGGGGAGGACGGGACGCGGGTCCCCAAGGGCACGGGCTGGTCCAGGGCATGGGAGCGGGGCAGAGAACCAGCCCGATGCTGCTGGAGGTGGCCGGACCTGCCCGTGCTTGCCAGGCTGGGCTCTGCTCCATGTCCTGCCTTGGGAACCCTCTCCATCTCCAGACACGTTACCTTGGTTGGCTTTCCGAGGTCTTGTCCAAGCCCATCAGCTCCATCCAAAGAATAACCCCTTTCTTGCTGTTTGCAGCAGACAATTTGGGGGAAAAAACCCCAAAAGTTCCCAACAGACCAGAAGAGAAGTGTAAGGTAATGACTGAGAACCCATCCAGGAGCCCCCAAGCTTACCCACTGCCAGCCCCCTGCCAGGCAGGGGATTTACCTGGGGTCAGTGAGGGGATTACACCTGGTCCTGCTGCTGAACACCTCATCCCTGCCCCAGCTCTTCCTCCTGGCCAAGCCACACTGCAGTGCAGCATCACACGAGGGGGGCATCAAAGTCATCTGAGGTCTGAACTTCAGTTTATAAATGCAGATTTGAGGAACAGACGATAACCACACTTACTTCAAACCACCCGCGTCGTAAAGCACGTTAATAAAGACCAGGCAGAATATGGCCCATCCTGGAAGATGAAGCCAGCTTCTCCAAAAGCCCTTCGCCGACCTCACAAACACCACGGGCAGGTTTCAAGAGAGTGATAAACACGATTTTTATTCAGGCAATGAAACATGGAAAAAAAAATATATTAGTAATCATTATAATAATCTCATTTGTGTGAGTGTAACTCTTACAAATATTTACCTGACATATAAAAGGGAAATTATGGTACATATAAAATCGATGGCGATGGCGGTTACATCCGTGGCACAACGCGACGGGGGGGTAGTAGTCAACGCAGAGAAAATTCCTGCCTCGGGGAGGGGGGTGGGGGCGATTTGCAGTGGGGGCGGTCACTGGTTGGCACTTCATTGTGGACAGAGATTTCTGGCAAACGCACACTTGCACACAGCAACACCAGAATTAATAATAATAATAAAAAAACCCCAAAACTCTAGAGTTTAAATATCCCTTTCTGAGAGCAGCGGGGGGGCAGGTCTGCCCCCCCGCTGCTCTCAGAAAGGGATATTTAAACTCTAGAGTTTTGGGGTTTTTTTATTATTATTATTAATTCTGGTGTTGCTGTGTGCAAGTGTGCGTTTGCCAGAAATCTCTGTCCACAATGAAGTGCCAACCAGTGACCGCCCCCACTGCAAATCGCCCCCACCCCCCTCCCCATCTCTGTGGTCCCCCCCCATCCTGCCGCCAGCCCCCCCCTCGGCCCCATCAAACGCCGGCACCGCAGCTCTGCGAGATGCGACAGCCCTGCCCCTTGACAGTCACAAACACACGCCTCCTATTATATATAACTATAACCATTATATATATACTTTTTTTTTTTTTAATATATATATATGTAACTATAACCATATTATAGTTAATAAATCATTCCTTAGGAATCTTCTTTGCCCGGACGGGAGGTGCACGCTGACAGGCACGGGGAGGTGACCGTGCCGGGGTGCGAGGGGCAGCAGAGTGGGACCGGGGGACAGTGGGGACACGGGGGGGGACACGGGGGGACACTGCCAGCACGGGTTATAGCCACGGAGCCACTCTCCCCAGCCTGGCCTTTGCCGGGGCAGGGGGGAGGCTGCAGCCATGGCTGTGCTGAACGCAGGCTGGGAGCGCTGAAATCCAAACTTCTGCAATTATTTGCCACCTCTGGGGTCAGAAAAACACCCCCAGGACCCACCGGCCTCAGACACACTCAGGGGGGGCTCCCAGCCAGCCCCCTGCCCCGAGCCGGCCACTGGGCTCCTCAGAGCTGGCCCTGGAATAGCAAACCTGCCCCGGGCTGGGCTTGTCACCCCCCCTGGCCACAGGAACCCCATTTCATCCCTTGGGGCAAAGTGGGAAGGTAAAAAAAAACATAAATCAACTTTTCCCAGGTCCAAGAGGCTGCGCAGCCCTGCCCTGGGGACCTGCCCCCTCCCGCTCCTGAACAGTCAGCAAAGAGAGAAACCCAGCTCCCTCCCAAATCCCTGGTTCTCAAGGGTTTGGTTTAACTGCACGGACCCTCAGAAGGTCCAAAGGGGCAGCACCTTCTGGGGGTCACTCCCTGCCAACAGCCATGGGAAGGGTCCCTCAGCCAGGCAGGGAAGCTGCTCTGGAGCAGGATGCACAGGAGGAGGAAAGAGAGAGGAGGAAAGAGAGAGGAGGAAAGAGAGAGGAGGAAAGAGAGAGGAGGAAAGAGAGAGGAGGAAAGAGAGAGGAGGAAAGAGAGAGGAGGAAAGAGAGAGGAGGAAAGAGAGAGGAGGAAAGAGGAGGGCAGCACAAAACCCAAAGGCTGGTGAAATGTGGCAGAGTCTGGGGCTGGCACTTGGACTCCCCAAAGAGAAACAGTCCTTGTAGATGGTCTGACAGAGGCTTTTCCACCCTCAACCGGCCCATTCGAGGGACAGGAGGGGAGGACAAAGAAAGAGGATGTAAAAAAAAAAAAAAGAGGAAAAAAAGGGTTTTCCTTCTGTCAGCTGTGCAGAGGGGTGAATCTCCAGCACAGAGCCACGGGCACACGGCTCCGAGCGGCACCAGCCATCGGCTTCCCCCCGGCACAGCGACCAGTCCGGCCACTGGGATAACTGGGAGCGCGGTGAACAGACCAGGGCTCTGGCTAGGGCAGGCTGCTGGCATCTCTGTCTGCTCAAGCGTATAATAAATCCTCTCTATACATAATATAACTAATAAAATATATATCAAGTGTATGGCTCTGGTTTAAACAGATGTTTGCACTGCACGCTCAACACAGGGAATTAGAAAATAGAAGGAAAACAGCTCGATTCTTTTACAAAAAGGTAGCAGCAAAAAGGTTTTCGAAAGTCTTAGCGAGGCTGGGTAGGAAACAGCCCAAACAGCGAGTGTTTCCCTTCCCCGGTGCTTTACAACTCCCTGTCCAAGGTAATAGCAGTGAATCCTCCACCCCGGCACCCGCTGCCAGGAAAACACGGCACCGCGCACAGCAACCCCCCCAGCAAGGCTGGCTCACACTGTGGCATTACCAGGGGGGCACACACGGGATCTATAGGGGATTTAAACACATCACACACCCCCTGAGCCCCCCCCCTGCTTCCCAGCACAGCACAAACGCAACCTCAGCAATTCAAAAAAGCAAATACCTCCGGAGCCGAGCAGGCAGCCTGCGCCCAACGTCAGACCTTGGGCTGCATCCAGACAGATCTCACAGCGCGTGTTACTGCTGCCTGGATCTGCCTTTGCCTGTGAGGGCTGCCTTTTGTTTGGTTCTCTTCATATTCGGTGCTGTCAGGGCATTTCTGAGAGCAGCCAAGCCCCCGTGCCCCTCTGCGCTGCCCGGGGAGAAGGGCTGTCAGCCAGCAGGATCCTGAAGCAGCTCCGGGTTTGCTTCCTTCCTTCTGCAGCACCCACAGCAGGGACCTGACCCCACCTTGGCACGGGGGAACAGCAGCAAAAGGCCAGATTTGTGCACTTTAAAGCCGGCTGGAAACCCCAGGTGAACAAGCCTTGGGAGGTGAACGGGGAAGACAGAGGGACAAGCCCCAGCTCTCCAGGACCAACATCTCCCCTGGTTCTCAAACATCTCAAGCCCTGCACTGCCCTCGCCAGGCTCTCCTTTGAGGGGACTGATGTGACTACTGGTGAAGTGGCAGAAGAAGTGAGCAGAGAGCCCGAGTGCTCAGAAATGCCAATAAAGTGCTCAAATGCAGAGACGTGGGCTCCCTTCGTCCAAGACTGGCACGGCCAGGGATGAGGACACACCGTGCTGTGTTTCACCCGTGTACCAAAGCCTGGGACCAGCCCCAAAACCCACCGACCTACTGGGAGGCTGCTTGAGCCAGGGGATCCAGGCTGGTGGCCCCAAACCATCTGTGGCGGGTGCCTGAGGTCTCCCAGCCCCTTTACTGGGCACCCATGTCCCAGGTCCCCTTCCCCAGTGCCAGAGCCATCAGCTCCAGCCCTGGCATCACCCACGTCCCGGGGCAGGACCTGTGCAAAGGAGCAGGTGAGGACAGCAAGTGACAGAGCGTGTCACAACTAGACAAAGGGACACAACTAGACCCAAACCAGCCCGGCCGAGGGGGACAGAGCCCAGGGTGTCACCTCCCAGCTGAGAGGTGGCATCTGTGCAGGCAGAGAGTGTGGTGGCCACCAGGAAGGACACGCATGCCCAGCCTGGCCCCAGAGCCCTTGGGGGACAGAGACAGGGACAGTGTGGGGACCGGCTCTCCTTGGGGACAGCGTGGGGACTGGCAGCTGATCGGAGCAGGCATCTGGACGTGTGTCCTTCTCTGCCAGGGGGCTCCTGGGGGTAGGACAAGGTGCTCGACGTCGGGAGAGAAGCGGCCGGGTGCGGAGAGCGCTGGGGGGGGCGGGGAGGCTCAGTCCGTCTTGCCCAGCTTGGCTATCAGCTCGTCACAGATCTTGGTCAGCTCCTCAATCTCCTGGTTCTGGAGGAAAAGCAGCCCCTGAGGACCCCCGTGGCGGCACAGATGGGGGATAACGCCCGGGCCCATCTGCCACCAGCCAGCGCGGGAAGGGGCAGCCAGACCCCACGCCTGTCCCTGCCAGAGCCCCTCTGGTCACCACCCGTGGGGACCCCCGGGGTCACCCCTCCTTGTCCCCAGCAGACCCTGGTGCTGCGCAGGGCTCGGCTACGAGAGGGCACATGTGGGCAAGCTCTGGGCACAAGCCACAGCAGCCAATGCATGCCAGCCCTGAACTGGCCACCTCACTGCACGCAGCCATGGCCACCCCTGGGCAGAGCCTGCATCTCCTTCCTTGTGAGGGGACGGGGTTGTGCATTTAAACAACAACAACAAAAAATTTAAATCCGCCACAAAGCACAAACAAAACAAGCAAACAAAAAAAAATACCCCAGAGAAGCCAAAACCACAAAATGCTTTAAGGACCAAAGAATCTGAAGGAGCCCCCCGATACCAGCAGGATGCTCAGGGCAGGAGAAGGGGGGTCCTGAGGGAAGGCCCGCGGAGGAGGGGGGGTGTTACCTTCTGCTGGAGGGCTCTCTCCAGGGACTCCACCTTCATCTGCTCCTTGCGCAGCCCGGCGTGCAGCGCCGCGCTCTCCGCTTTGGCCTTGGTGCGCACCTGGGCGATCTCCTCGTTGGCTCTGGGGTTTGGGGACAAGGGGATGGTGGTCACCTCTCTGGATGTGGGGGGGAGCACCACGGCACGACCCCCGGACCGGGCGGCATCAGCAGGACCCAACTCCTGCTTCCCCGGGTGTCTCTGAGGTGGTTTTCCCACATGGAAAACCTGCACAGAACAGCACGACCCCTTCGCACGCCACGGCCACGAGCCCTCTGGAAGGCAGGAACTCGTTAAGTTGACCGTGAATAGACCCTGAACCTCAGTTTCTCCATTAAAAAAAACCTAAGCAGAGATTGGAGATTCCAGTCAGGGATTTGTGCTGTTTCTTACAGCTGTTTTAAGTCAGTTGAGCCCGTGGCTGTAAAAGGCAGATTTTCACATCAATAAGCTCCTGCCTCCCAGCCTCAGGAAAGCCAAATGGAGACACTGCCCTGCAAGGTCCTCAGCTGCCCCCAGAGCCCCTCCGCACCCCCAGCCACCTCATGCATGGCCTTACTTGTCTAATTTTTCTTCTGCGTGGACTTTCAGGGCCTGATACCGCTGCTCTTCCTGCTTGACCCGGTTTAAATAATCTTGAGCGCACTTCTTCAGAGCTTCTTCATTCTGGGGAAAAAAAAAAGCACATCCATCTGCCCTGGGACTGAGCATGGAGAAATTGCTCTGATGGGGGGATAGATCCTGTTCTGAGTGTAAAAGGGAAAAAAAGGCTGTAAGCAGAACCAGCTTCTCCCTTGTGCTGGAGCCCCGTGTGGAGCGGGGGGCAGAGATGGGGTGCAGATGGAGGCAGGGGTCTCTCGGGGTGCTTCACCCCGGTACCTGCTCCTCTGCCCGGGGCACGATGCTCCGCTGCCAGAGAGAGTGTGGAGAAGAGCCTGGCTCCTCCACCAGCTTCCCTGGGCATCTGAAAGGCTCTTTGTTTGTCCATCAGAAAGTGGGCAGAGGAAAGAGTCCTCTGAGCAAAGGCTGGGGGTGGGAAACAGCAGCGGGTGGGATGGGAGAGCCAGGGGGCTGCAGCCTGGGACAAAGTGGGGGCAGTGGTCCCCGGGAACGCCGGGATAAGCCACCAGGGCTGCAGGGAAAAAGAGGAAACCAAGGTAAGGACCTTCTTAAAGCCTTCTAGGACGCCCTTCAGGTTCTCATATCTCCTGAAGAGATCCGACAAGGACCTCTCCACCGAGTTTAGGTCTGCCAGAGCCTGGTCCTTTTCCATCGTGAGCTGCTGCAGGTTCTTCTGAGATGTCATGTTTGTCCTCTGCTCATCCTCTGTGATGGAGAACAAGCAGCAGGGACACGGTGACTGAGCGGGGAGGGCTGTGACAGCCCCCTCCCTGCCCCACATGGCGACGGCACCCTACCTATCATCTGGGCAATGGTCTTCTCGTACTCAGCCACGATTTTCCTGGAAGAAAAAGAGGAAGAGAAGCAGGTAAGAGGCAGCAGTTGTTCCCAGACATGCACCTACAGCTCTGCTTCCCCAAGGCCCAAAGGCAGCTGGGACAGAGCGATGCCCATGGTCACTGCTCTGCCCCAACACCCCCCTCCAGCCAGCGCAGCTAATGGGATTTTATTGCTGCAACAAAGGAATAAAAGCACACCACCACGGCACAAGCACAAAGAGCACGTGTTTCCTAACATCTCCCACCCTGAGGATGCCGAGCCGTATCATCCCATCACGGCACACAGCACAGCACCGCTCCGGGCAGGAGACTGGGCAGGAGAAAGCTTTTACCTCATCTCCAGGACCTCCTGGCGGCTCTCTTCATATTTCTTCTTCCACGCATTGGCTTCGATCTCCTTTGTGATTATCTAAGGTTGTGGCAAACACAGGACCCTTGGGATGTGCTCTGGGGGGTTTCCCTTGCTGCCCCAAGGGGACGTGCAGGAGATCGGACCCCCCCCGGGCAGAGCAGAGCTGCCCCCACTCCCCCCACAGCAGCCGGGATGGGGTCTGGGGTGCAGGGAGGGACAGCCCCGGGGGGACGATGGGGTCCCCGGCCCTTACCTCCTCCCTGATGAGGGTGAGCACGGCCGTCTTCTCCGATTCACTGAGGCAGATGCCGTCCAGGGGGCTCTCGCTCCTGCTCACGCCGCTGACAGCCGTGGGGGGCTTGTCCATGGGGTTGCCCTGGGGGGAGTCACCCAGCTGGGATGCTGCCTGGGTTTCCTTTTCACCCTGCTCTTCCCATTTGGAGTGTTCTCCCTGACTTTATCAGCCTCCTCAGGCACCAAACCTCCCAGTCCACACACCCCCACAGCTCAGAGCCCAGTATCAGGCACGCACAAAGCCCAAATGGGGTTTTTAGTGCATTTTCTGCCCAGTCCCTGGCCGGGAGCCGGAGGACACCCACGGGCTGCCCTGGGGAAGCAGCATCCCATCGGGGAGATGGAGCAGGGGCCCAGACCCAGCCTGGAGCAGAGACGTGCTCACCCCTGACACCCCTGCACTTTCCCCAGGGCTGTTTTTAAGCATCTCCAGCCCGTGGAGGAGCTTTGCTGAGTGTGAGCCACATGCCGGGGGGCTGTGAGGGTCCGAGTGGCCCATCTCCATCACCTCCCAGTCAGGTGGAGATGTCACTGCAGCCAGAGCATCCAAATCACTGCTGACACTCACTGGCCCTCACTGATGGCCCCGAACGCAGGAGGAGTGAGGGGAGCAGGTGGCATCCCCCTGTGGAGCAGCTCTGAGACTGCCCCTGTTCCCCTCCCCAAGGGACGGCCCCCCTCAACCCACTGTGCCCCAAATCAGAGATGCTCACACAGGGCTCCCAGCACCCTCCTGGTCCCATCATGGGGGCTCCTGCGGGGGCCGAGGTGGTGGTACCCCCATTGCTCCCTGCCATCTCCCCCCAGAGACCAGCTCCTTCCCACCAGTGCTGCAAACTGGGGGGACCAAACTGGGGGGAGAGCTCATCCTGCCTGGGTGCTGGCCCCATCCCTTCCCTCATGAGGGGGGGCACGTCCTGCAGCCTGAAAGGCCTCCAGAAAAGCATTCCTTCAAACTCAGGCTTACGCCACCGCCTGTTCCTCCTTTTATCATCCCAGCCCAAGTGACAGCCCCGAGCAGCCATCTCCTTGGGAACCGTCTGCCAGGCCATAAATAGAGAAGTGCTTCGGAGGAGGCATCTGCTTTTGCTGTGTTTTGGAAACGAGAGCACTAAAGCACTTCTCTTCCCCCCCCCTCCTCCTCCTCCTTCCCTGCGCTTTAACCACTGCCCAGGTTCAAGCACAATCAAGCCCTTCACAGGCTCTGAGTTCTGCTGCCCATGGCAGTGGGCAAGTGATGGCCGGTGGCATTAGCCACTCCCGGGTGCAGATTTGGGTCCAGGCAGCCTCACACCAGGATGGTTTAGCCCTGTGTGGTTTTGGGAGCAGCCCCCACAGCCTCTCCCACAACCAGGCACACACCTGAACACCCACAAGTACCTCTGCCCACTGCCTGCCCCATGGCCATCCCCCCCACAGTGGGGTTTCGGGATGACCCCAGCTCGTCTGCAGGAGCAGGGTCTGCCCGGGCTCTCCCCAGCCCAAACAAAAGGTTCACTTTGCCTAATGTCCTTGTGGGGCTTAGCGCAGTTAAATCTGTCTCAGAGAAGCTCATTTTGCTGATGTTGCTAATCTCATTGTCATCTGCTTGCCACCTCGAGCAGCTTTGGCAGGGGCAGCTAAGCTGGCACGGGGTCCCCCCTGCAGCAGAAGGGTCTCGGGGCCACTCCGATGGCTCCTCGGGCACTTCGGGGGTGTCCCTGGGCAGATGAGCCACCGCTGGGCTGCCAGGGTCCCTGGTGGCTGCAGAGCCAGGGCTGTTTTCATTAATTCCCCCATCCCTGCTGTCAGCTTCCTTCCCAAAAGCAGCGTCTGAGGCTCCTTTGCAGAAGGGACAGGCACCGACCGGCCGTCAGAGCCAGCCCCAGACTCCTCCACGTGAGACACAGCCCCTGTCCCGCGGCTCGTCCCTTCCCCACCATCTCCTCTGCCCTTTCACTGTCATTCAGCCATTGCCAAATGCAGTGTTAGCTCTCGCTGCCCTCCCACAGCTGCAGCCCTGGCTCCTCACCAGCCTCTCTCCATCCCCAGCCTCTCTCCATCCCCAGCCTCTCTCCATCCCACCCACGAGCGGCAGTGCCCACCCCGGGGGAGCCGTCCTCTGCCAGGATCCTGCTGGGAAACCCCTGCGAGAAGCCCCGTGGGGACCTGGCTCCCAAAGAAACTCATTCCGGAGAGGTTTTGGTGGCACTTCTGGGATTAGCAGCAAGGTTTGCTGCAGTGTCCCACCCCCCCAGCCCTCTCCATGGTAGGGCAGGAGGATCAGCCCCCCTGCAGCCCCACTGCACTGCACCCCACGTCGGCACCGCTGCCCCCCATTGCCACCCAGCACCACCCCGAGCATCCCTGTGGGAGAGGGAGGAGGAAGCAAGAGGCACTCACAGGGAAGGTGCCAGGTCCATCCTTTTCCATCTGCTTGGAGAACTCCTTTTCAAAGCCTAAAGAGAAGGAAATACAACCTCTCAGCTACCTGGAAACAAGACCCTGGTGGCACATGTGGATTTGCTGGGATGCAGAGGGGTACCCCCGAGTCTCTACATCCCCTGAGCATCCCCTCCCACAAAGGCTTCTTTGCCCTCAGCTCTTGCCCTGGCAGGAAGGATGCATCCCACATCCCTATCCTGGCTCCTGCCCTTGCAGGGAGGATGCATCCTGCATCCCTGTCCCCTGGCTTCCACCCTGGCAGGGAGGATGCATCCTGCATCCCTGTCCTGGCTCCTGCCCTCGCAGGGAGGACACATCCCGCATCCCTGCCAGCCTCCCCTGCTGGAAACCAACACTCCCCTCTGGTGGCAGTCCAGCCCCGTGTCCCCGTCACTGCCACCCACACCAGCCATTACTGGGGACCACGGGGGGACCAGGAGGAGGAAGAGGAGGAAGGAAGGTTTACAAGACGTCCTGCACTTTGCCGGCCGGCGTGGGCAGGAGACATCCCTGGGGTGAAGCCCGGCTGCTCAGACCACTCTGAAGGGCAGAAGCCTCAGCCCACGCCAGCTGGTCCCAGGGCTCTCCAAAGGAGCTGCCACGTGGCTCCTGCTGTTCTTAACAGCAGCCGAGAGAAGAGAAAAGCCATGTCCTCCTGTCCACAGCACACGGGACACCCTGCCTTCTCACAGAGCCTGGGAGATAATTCATGAACCTCCCTCAAACACCCGCAGACACGACTGTGTTAACTGGGCAAAGAGAAAAAGCATTGCTAGAGCCCAGCTAGGAAAGGAAGGAGGCCACGTAATGTGTGTGAGAGTGGATTTCCTAGTGTTTCCCCCTATTTATTCCTGTCCTTGGTCACAGCACCGTCCCCACAGCCAGCACTGAGCCCCTGCTCCCCTGCCTGGCCCTCCGCGACGAGCAGCCATAAATAAAACCTCCCAGCCTCTCCGCTGACGATCACATTTTTCCTCCCTTGGGAGACAAAGGGCTGCTCTCCTCCCCCGGGAGCCGCCAGCTCCGCAGGGCTCTCATGGGGAGTGATGAATGGTGCCCGAGCAGGGGAGAGCTGCAAACCTTCCGTGCCGTAATTCCTCCTGCTCGCACCTATAACTCTGCTATTGATTAAATGTCAGGTTGCCTGGCTCTTAATTATTTTTTAATGGGTTGGTCAGAGAGGCTAATTACATCAGAGACTGACAGCAAAATGCCACCGGGAGCATTAGCGGGGGTCTCCCATGGCGACGGGGAGATCTCCATCAGTTGCAGCCCTTGTGCTGGGACAGGGAGCCCCGGCAGCCCTGGGAGCATCCCGGCTGCACGGCTCGGCTCACTGGTGGGCACTGGTTTGGGGAGGGCACTGGCAGTGTGTGCCATGGGCAGGGAGATGGAGCATCATGGACCTGAGCCACCTCCTCCCGCAGCGCCATGGGAGAGCGCTCTGCTCCGAGAGAGCCTAAACACAGCCCACACCGTGATTTTTCAATGGAAATAGTGCAGAGGTTTCATTAGAACTTGCAGCAGCCTCCAGCCCTGTCAGTATAAATAAAGGGTGGTGAAGCTGCGTTGCCTCAGCAGCACCACTTCCCTGCTGGAGGCTGCCTGGCTGCACGCATGGCACATCTCCGGAGCCAGGGGCACAGGGATGCTCCTTACCTGCCTCCGTGCCCTGCTTCGCCGCTGGCACGGGGACGTTGGAGCACTCGAAGTATTCCAGCTCATCTTCCGGCTCGCCCTTCTTCTCCAGCCCGGCCGGTTTCTGCGCAGCGGTGGTGGAGGCCAGCTTCTCCTCATCAGTGGCACGTCCATCCCGATTTGCAATATCTGGGATTTCTGAGATCAACGCTCCCTCATCCTGCAGGATCAAGGCATGCGGTTAAGCAGGACTGAGCTAATCCACGGGGATCAGGCAACCGGGCTGCCTGGAGAGTCGGTGGAAGGCACGGGAGGATTAGCAGAGCATCCACCGCCAAGCTGCTCCCCACCGGCTCCTCGGCAGGTTTTGGCAGAAGGAAACACATGGTGCCAGGGACAGAAGTGATTAACGAGCAAAATCCATTAACCCAACCACAGAGCTCGGTGCTCTGCCCTGCTCCACGCTGGGGACAGGGCTGAGATGGTGCAGGGACACAGTCCCTAAGGAACCACGGGGGAAACAGAGAGGGTTTACTGGGTAGGAACCCCCCTGCTAAGGGACAGGCTCACGTTGGCGTGGGCCCCAAGGTCTCCTCCCTCCCTTCCCACCATGGAAATGCCCATGGAGAAGATGGCCGGGAGCTGCCACTTCCAGGGAACCATCCCCTCGGACAGGGGCTGCTCGGGTGGTCGCTATCCTGGAGCTCCCCCCACCACCCGAGCATCCTGTGCCCATCCAGCGGCTCCGGGGTGGGATCCCACCTACCTGAGGGGAATCATCCAGGCCCAGGGGCTGCGCCTCGTAGTGCTTCACCTTGCAGCCGCTCCTGTGGGGAGAGAGAAGCGGGGGGCTGAGCTGAGGGCTGGCGGGGGCTGCGATGGGGGGGGGGAGGGAGGTTGGGGGTACGTGCGAGACAGGCCAAGCA